ATTTCGATTTGCAGAACAACAAAAGTAATTCCGATGTCCACCAAACCTACCATTGTCTGCAGGACGTACTACGGGAACTAGCAGAAGTTCTTGTCGACTTCGCAGGCCCAAATGCAAGAACGGTGGAGAAGAGGGATAAGGAAGCACGACGAAATAGGATCCGCAAGTTTAAGGGAGAAAGAGGAGAAGATCCGTATTCGTGGCTAGAGTGGTATGAGGGAGTTGCGGAAGCCAACGGTTGGACGATTGCCCAAAAATTAAGACGTGTAGCGGAATACCTGGAGGGACATGCAGCAGAATGGTACATGGTTTGCCAGGATCGCCTTGAGCACTGGGACCATAGAAGCGACCGTAAAAGGAGCTTTGTACCAGCCTTCCTCCGATGCTTTGTGACGCTTGAGCAACGGCGGCAGTGGCTGTTGGAGCTCGCGAGACTAAAGCAAAAAAAGGATGAGAAAGTTACAACGTACGCACGACGATTTCGAGACTTATTAAGAAAAATCTACCCCGACGATAACGAACCTGGGAGGGATGATATCAAAGTATTCGTAAGAGGGCTAAGAGAGGAAATTATGGCAACGCTTACCGTCAGAAACGACGCTCCGTTGGAAGAGATAATAGATGGTGCGATACGGGTCGAGTTTGAGCTGTACAAAACAAGTACGGAACTAAGGGAAAGACGTTGTAAGAAAGTACCAATGAAGGTACGAGGTGAAGTAGCGCTGAAGGAGGGACGAATGACGCGACCCGACGGGAACGACAAAAGCGAAATTTTGGATTTCGGGATCTCTGATACATACCGGCAACAGATAGAGAAAGTGACGGCGAGACAGGAACGGACGAGGGTGAGAGCAGAAGAAGGGGAAGTTACATCACGATCGAAGGGGTCACAGTCCCCATCAGAAAGCGAAGAGAGGATGAGCCCGAAGCCGATGGTGGGACGAAGACCAGCAATGATCGAGAACGAGGCCAAAATTCGCAAAGTAGGATCCTGGAAAGGACGAAAATACTTACCCAACGATGACGTGAACAACGACACACCCTCACCCATTGGAAATATGCGGACATCATTCAGCGAATCCGGCAACGAAAAACAAGATGTGGACGGCAGATCAACAAAGGACGACAAAAAAACCGGCGAAGCTCAAGCTGCAAATGAACTAAACCCGGAGCCTAGAGGACAAGTGCGAAACGGGATGAAAAAGGGATCAAAAGGGATACCCGGTAAGGAAGGAACGGTGATGAAGGAGAAACACGACACCATACCAATAGAGGGGCCTGATCAAGGATCGGGACGCACTAAAGTAACACGATCCATCATCAGCACCAGCGATGACACCTCGATCAGACAAAATACGTGTAAGGCTGACCAAGGCGCGGGGGAGTTAACCATAGGAGGAATAGCACGAGTGGTTCCAAGAATGATGTATACATTTGATGTATCTGTACTGCACCGGCGACTCGTGGATATACTTTGTCGCGATCTGAAAATAAACATCGAAGCTTTCCGATTATCACGTGATGATGACGA